GGGTGTTTTTCAAAACCAAAGTTAAATGCGTATGTGAAGGTTATATAAAGTGTAATAACATTTTACGACATAAACTTGTACCAATTCAGTGTCACTAGCAGCAAATTAAAAACAGAACATAAAAACACTTCAAATGTATGTGAGGACTTACCAGGCCAAAAATGTAAATAAAAGGGGAAACTCAGCTAGGGTTGGAAAAATACTCATCGGAGATTTCTGGTTCTGGGTAAAATGGAGTAAGCACATTCCCCAGCAAACCCCACCCCTGGCCATTTCTGTCCAAATCTGAAATCTGAACAGAGGCATGGAGTAGCCGTTTAAGGATTCTGGAAGGTAAATGGTAGCAGGTAGATTGGGGGGGGGGGAGATTAGAATTTGGAGCACCACCAAGCTGGTGGTGAGTTGCTCTTCTTTCCCAGCATGGATTAAATCCAGCCCCAACCTGGAAGTGGCAGGGGCATGAACAGAGATCATTCCAGGAGACACCTTCCAATTCCAGCTCAAGAAATAGGAAACGGCTCCCCTGATGCTTAGTGAGGGGGGGAGTACATCTTCCTTCTAATTTTGTCCTTTCTTTGTTCCCTCATGGCCCACCCCCACATCATCCAATGGTGGTGACAGCAACCGCAGCGACTACAGAAGCCTAACACTCTAGGGGGAGCAGCTCCCTCTCTAATTGAGGGACTCTGTTCCCACAAGAGTTGGGCAAATTGCTGTTGTTTTCTGTCCTCCACCTCCCATGTGGCCCCAGATACATGTGCTGTCATCAGAAGTATATACAGAGTTTTCTAGAAAAATGCCCAAAAAGAGAACCTTCAGAAATCTGGAAAGCTCTAGGGAGACTGCAGAAAGGGGGTGCCTAAGAAAAGCGATGTGAGAAAATTGTGTGTGGTCTGGCATCACGCCTAGGCTGCCCAGGCACGCGTCTGGCCCCAGCAGCCTAGCACCGAGTGCGAGAGGGCACAATGGGCTGGGCCACTGCCCTGGTCCCACTGGCTGGTGCACCCAAGGGACAGACCTGAATAGCACTGCACAGGTCGGATGGCACATTTAGCATGAACTCAGGTGCGTCACATGCCTGATACAACGAAGTATATCAACGTTCTCCATAACTTGGAAAGTATCAGAGTTTCATAACATGGTATTCAACGTGCGCAAGATACAATCCAAAATTACTCAGCAAACAAAGGAACATGAAAATCTCAACTGGAATGTGAAGAGGTAACAGTCACCAATGGGGAAACAACAGACATTGGGATTTCCTGCCAAGGCAAGTATTATAGAAATGCTCCAACCAGTAAGAGTAAACACTCTTGAGAAAGTGGAAAGCCAAGAAATAAAAATATAGGGGTGCCTGGGGGGCTCACTCAGTAAGCATCTGACTCTGTTTCAGCTCAAGTCATGATCTTGGGGTTATGGGATCAAGCCCCGCATGGGGATCCTCGCTCAGCGTGGAGTCTCCTAGAGATTCTCTCCCTTTCCTTTTTACTCCCAATCTGCTCCTCCCTCCCTGCCCCCCCAAAATAAATAAATAAAATATTTTTAAAAAAGAAATGGAAAATATAAAGAAGAATCAAATAGAAGTATCAGAACTAAAAAATATAATAACCAAAAAATAAAATAAAAAATAATAACCAAAATAAAAACCTCACTAGAGAGATTCAACAGTGGAATGAAGATGAGTGAGGAAGGAGGCAGTGAATCTAAAGGTAGAGCAATGGAAATGATCCATTTTGTATTACAGAGAGGAAAAGAAGATTGAAAAACAAATGACAGAGACTCAGGGACCTGGGGAACAATATCGAAAGGGCTCACATTTGTGTTATCCAACTCCTGGAGAAAGAGGAAAGTGTGGTTAAGAAAAACTATCTGAAGAAAGAAAGAAAGAAAGAAAGAAAGAAAGAAAGAAAGAAAGAAAGAAAGAAAGAAAGAAAGAAAGAAAGAAAGAAAGAAAGAAAGGAAAGAAAAACTATTTGAAGAAATAATGGTTGAAAATTTGCCCAATTTGGTAACGAAGACAAAGAAAACACTCCTAAAAGCAGCCCAGGGAAAATGATGAATTGTGTATAAGGAAATAATTTGAATTATTGCAGGGAACATGACGGATAGAAGGAAGTGGAGCAGCATTGTTGAATGAAGGGAAAAAAGCCTGTCAGAGTTGTGTGTGCAGAGAAAATACCCTTTAAGAATGAAAGTGCTGTAGACTGTGTGTGTGTGTGTGTGTGTGTGTGTGTGTGTCCTCTCCTAGTTCATGAGCTGACATGGAATCCCCAGCGTGGTGGTGGTGGGAGGTGGGGCCTCTGGAAGGTGATGAGGTCATGAGGTGGGGCCCTCATGATGGGATTAGTGGCCTTGCAAAAGATACAGCAAGGAGCCCTCTTGCGCCTCCGCCGCCGAAGGACACCGCAAGACGGCCATCTAAGAACCAGGGAGCGGACCCTCACTCTGGGATTCTCAGCTTCCAGAACTGTGAGAAATAAGTGTCTGTGGTTTATGAGTATGTGTTACTCTGTTATAGTAGCCTGAAAGGACTAAGACAGAAAGGGAAGTAAAATATTCTCAGACGAAGGAAAAACATCAGAATTTGTTGACAAGCAGACTTGCCGTAGATGAGAGGCATCACAAGGAAGCAATCAACTGAGCCTAGAATTTGGGAAATTATTTAGGAACAAAGACACATCCTAAAACTTGAAAATAGAGATGACCTGAAAGTGAAAGGATGAGGAAAAAGCACAAATTTCACTGCCACCCCAACCGACCCCATTGCTGACGTAGCTATACTAGTATCTGACAAAATAGACTTTACGGCAAAATGAAGTAACAGAAATAAAGATGGTCACTTATGATAAGGGGTTCAAGTCATCAGCGAGATACATCAATTTTAAATGTGTATGCATATGATAACTTAGGCTTAAAATATATAAAACAAAACTTGACAGCAGTATAAGGAGAGGGGCACCTGGGTGGCTCAGTCGGTTAAATGTCTGCCTTGAGCTCAGATCATGATCCCAAGTCCTGGACCCAGCGTGCTCAGCGGGGAGCCTGCTTCTCCCTCTCCCTCTGCCCCTCCCCCCCTGCTTGTACTCTCTCTTGCTCTCTCTCTCTAATGAATAAATTCTTTAAAAATCCTTAAAAAAGTAATAATAAAAACTAAAGAAGTATAAGGAAAAATATAAAAATACATAACCATAGTGGAAGGAAATAACACTTATCACAATAATTATTAGAATAAACAGAAAATTAAGCCATAAATATATAAAAAATTTGAACAACCTCATTAACAAACTCGATCTAATGGACATACATGCAAGACTGTGTTAAAAAAAAAAAAAAAGACTGTATTCAAAACACACAATGTTTTCAAGCCGAAGTGGTTCTGGGCAAATCCCAAAAATTTTTCAAGAATTAAAATCATACAGAGCAAAAAAAAAAAAAAATCATACAGAGCATATTCCCTGACCGTGCCATTAAGCTGGAAATCAATAACAAAAAGATAACTAGAATATAGCCATATGCTTGGAAATTAATAAATCCTCTTCTAGATAATACATTTTGGTCAAAGGATAAACCATGATAAAGATCAGAAATGCTTTTAAATAAGTGAAGGTAAAAATAGTAGATATCAAATTTGTGGAATGCAGCTAAAATATACTCAGTGTTGTTATGCCTGGGTGTATACAGCAGCAGAAAACAGCAGAAAGTAGGGAGCTAAGCACCTACCTCTAGAATCTAGAAAAATGCCCAAACCAAACCTGAATGAATAAAAGGAGAAACTAATAAATATAAGGCAGACAGGATAAAATGGGAGAAATAAACAGGATAAACTAAGCCAAAATGGGTTCTCTGAAAATACCCATGTAATTCACAAGCCTCTGACAAATTTATGAAAACCCTTCAGATATTAAAATAATAAGAATAATATGTAAATTCTGTGCCAACAAATTTGAAAGTTGACATGAAATGTACAAATTCTTAGAAATGTAGCAAAATTAACTAAAAAAAACCCCATGATTTTTAAAGACATTGAATCAGTAGTGAAAAAATTCCCCAAAATAAAACTCTAAGCACAGATGGCTTTATTGGCGGTTTTCACCAAATGTGCAAGGAACAAAAGATAAAATCTGATACAAACTGCTCCAGATAGAAAAAACTTATTTCATGAGAATAGCAAAACCCCTTAAGAACAGTATGAGGAAAAGGGAGTCATTGGTCAATCTTACCTTAGAAAACGTGTAATTGATAAATGTGAGTGAGAAAATGAATGCAGGAAAAATAAGCAGATAAAATTCAACATTGATTCATGATTTTTTTTAAAAAACTAAGCAAATTTGGAATCGAGAGGAATTTCTTAAATCTGGTGAAGATTTTTTTTTCTTTTTTTTCTTTTTTTAGACATTTCACTGAGGGGACACCCGGGTGGCTCAGCAGTTGAGCGTCTGCCTTCGGCCCAGGGCGTGACCCCGGGGTCCTGGGATTGAGTCCTGCATCGGGCCCCTGCATGGAGCCTGCTTCTCCCTCTGCCTGTGTCTCTGCCTCTCTCTTTCTCTTTCATGAATGAATAAATAAAATCTTAAAATAAATAATAAAATAAATAAATAAAATCTTTAAAAAAAACCCTCAATCCTGAAATTTTCTTTCCCTAAATATTTTATTTATTTATTTATGAGAGACACAGAGAAAGAGAGAGGCATCCCAGGGTCCTGGGATGAGCCCCACATGGGGCTCCCTGCTCAGCCGAGAGTCTGCTTCTCCCTCCCCCTCTACCCCTCTCCCTCCCCCCTGCTTGTGCGTGCTCTCTTTTTGTCTCTCTCAGTGTCTCTCAAATAAATACAATCTTTAAAAAAAAAAAAAGAAAATTCTACAAATGAAAAAGGAACCAGTTACAATGGTATAACAATTGCAAGATTTTTTTTAAAGACTTTATTTATTTATTCATAGAGACTCACAGAGAGAGAGAGAGAGAGAGAGAGAGAGAGAGAGAGAGAGAGAGAGGCAGAGACACTGGCAGAGGGAGAAGCAGGCTCCACCGGGGACTGGATCCAGGGTCTCCAGGATCACGCCCTGGGCTGCAGGTGGCGCTAAACCGCTGTGCCACCGGGGCTGCCCCAATTGCAAGATCTTTATAGATAAAATCATGAAAATGTATTGAGAGATGTTAAAGATAAACATAAAGAATATAGAATTATTTGCCTGGAAGACGGAGCTGCGATGAAGAAGTCGATTCTCCTCAAAGTGAGCTAGAAGCGTAACACAACCCCAATAAGAATCCCAGCAGTGTGTGTACCCATTGTGTATCGCTACGTAGTAAAGGACCCCAAAACTTAGAGGAAAACAGTACACCTTCGTTTATCTTGGGGTCAGGGGCCTGGCTACGGCTTTAGGCGGGTCCTCCTTTTCGGGGTCTCTCACGGAGCTACAACCAAGGTGCTGGCGGAGGCTGCTGGCTGCGGTTTCATCTCGGGCCGCTGGACGCGGGGCCTCATCTCCCACTTTGTTGCCAAAGAGGCTGCTCGGGCAGACGGGCCGGCATGTGGCTGCTCCCTCAGGGCCGCCTCACCAGCAGAGACGCGAGACCAAGTCGCCGTCGTGTGTGGCCTCCCCGCAGAAGTAGCAGCCCCAGGCCGTGTGCACTCTGCTCACAGGACACAAGTCTCCCGGTCCTGTCCACGCCCACGGGAGGTTTCCACATGGACGTGCACATGTATCTGAGTCAGACGGGAAGGCGAGAAATGCTGGAAAGGAAAAATACATCCAAGATGAACTATTTTGTGGGCTTACCAACACACTGAACCAAGAAGAGAAAACTGACGAAGACGTGTCAGTAGAAATCATCTGCACTGGAACACAAAGAAAAACATAAATGGAAAATCATACCCAAGGGGCTCCTGGGAGGCTCAGGTCATGGTCCCGGGGTCCTGGGTTCGAGCCCCGTCTAGGGCTCTCTGCTCGGCGGGCACCTGCTTCTCCCTCTGCTTCTGTCCCTCCCCTGGTTCCTGCGCTCTCTCTGTCTGTCAAATAAATACATAAAATCTTAAAAAGAAAGAAAAAGAAAATTGCACCCAAGATCTACGGAAAACATCAAACTGCCTATAATGCATGTTGATGTGTACAGATGGAGACCCGGAAGGACAAGACCGAGTGAACAGGATGGACTGAATATTTGAGGCTAAATAATAGCTAAGATGATCCCAAATTAATGAAAGGTATTAATCACAGATCCAGGAAGCTCAGAGGACTCCGAGGTGGGTACGTGCACAGAGAAGCGTGCCGAGGCACATCGTGACCAAACTGAAAATCGAAGATGAAGACCAAACCTTCAAAGCAACCCGGAGGAAAGTAAACACAACCCACAAGACAGAACAGAGAAAGAACAATGCCGAGTGTCCTCAGAAGCAACGCGGGACCGAAGACACTGAAGCAACAGCTTTAACACGCTGGTGGGCAAACCCGCTGACTCCGAACTCCACGTGCAGCAAAAAAAAAACCTTCCGCAAGCTGATGGGAGGGACGTTTTCAGGCAGATGAGGGCCGAGAGTGTCCTCAGCAGACCCACCTGCACACACAGGCTCGCAGCGAAGCGAGGTCCTGGAGGAAGGAGACGTGACGAGACCAGAGAGAGTCATTTGGGGAGGGACAAGCACGAGCGAGGGGAGCAGCAGAGGGAGAAGGAGAAGCCGGAGCCGGATGCGGGACTCGATCCCAGGACCCTGAGATCGTGACCGTAGCCGAAGGCAGACGCTTCGCCGATGACCCAGAATCTTCATTCTTTAGGCAGCAGGTGACACCAGAGATGGTAAATCACTTAAGTGTGCTGGTACATAGAGAATCATGCACAGAATTCGCAGCGCCGCCCTCTATTGCAGACCCCGGCCGGGTGACACAGGAGGGAGGTCCCGCCTGTGTGGTAGAGCGGGCGGCGCGCGGCTCGAAGATGAGGCTCTGGAAACGGGCGGGAACCCTGCTCAGCTTCCTGCCGCTTTCGTTGTTCAAGGATACGCCGCCGTTCTTGAGTTTTTGATGACTTGAAGGCATGTGCGCGCGTCTCCGGATCAACTTCTGAAGTCGTAGGCAGTCACAGAGCGCGTGGGAAGAAGGAAGGTGCCTGCGACTCAGTGGCAGCCCAGTCCCGAGCCGCTTGGGTCCAGACACATGGGTAGTGGAATAAACGTCGGGGCACCGAGCGCTCCCAGTGAGGGGGACGGCGAGGGCGGGGTAAGAAGTGACATTTACGGGCGACGGATCCAAACAGAGAGGGAAAGAACAAGGAGGAGAAACGACCCGTGTCGGTTCTGACGTGCCGCAGACGTGAGACGACGCAGCCTGCGAGAGACACGGGGCAACCAGAGACCACGCGCCCGTCGTGTGACAACAGGGCCGCTCACCTCTGAAGGCACCACAGGCCTGCATGTCGGCGCGTCTCAGAGCAAATCCCCACCGCGGGGAGCAAACGCTGCTGGAGCCGTCGGGGGACGGGCCGCGCCCGAAGCCAGCGGGACCCGCGGTCCGCCACGCACGCGAGGGCGTTCCGCAGGGCTGAGCCGCCAGGCTGACCTCCAGAAGCCCTGAAAAACAGGAATCATAAGGAACGTGTTCCCTGCCACGTAGCATCAGATGTATGGACACAGAGATTTCTGTCACATAAAGAGGGGTGCGTGCGCAATCCCAAGCACGGGGGGACTGGACAACACGCTTCCAAGTAACGCGCGAGGCAGAGAAGAAATCACGAGAGAAATGAGAGAGTGTCCTGAACGGAGGACAGTGAGAACACGAGGTGGTAAAACTCGGCCTGTGGACCAGACACCCTGAGGGGTTCGGGGTGCTGGCATCACAGAGGGGGGCGCACCGTGTGTCTAGACCTAGAAGCACGGGTGGCCTGGGTGGCTCAGCAGTTTAGCGCCGCCTTCAGCTTGGGGCGTGACCCCAGGGTCCCGGGATCGAGTCCCACGTCGGGCTCCCTGCATGGAGCCTGCTGCTCCCTCTGCCTGGGTCTCTGCCTCTCTCTCTCTCTCTGTGTCTCTCATGAATAAATAAATAAAATCTTTTTTTTTTAAAGCTACTTCCTGGAGGAACTTGGGATGGAAGGATGGAGAGATGGATGGGCGGATGGATGGATGGATTGAGGAATGGATGGGTGGATGGATGGACGAGTACATGAATAAATTAAGCTGCACTAATTACTCAGGTTCTCATAAATGCAGCTGTTTCTGGACCAGGTTTCTTGGAAGGACGCCCATGCGCTGAAAGTCAGGGAACCACAAGTGTCCACAGAGGTAACAGCTGCCAACCAAGCCCTGACCCGGGCTCAGGAGCCCAGACCTGCTGGTGCAACCTTGCCCCGCAGCTCCTCCCCGATGGCCCTACCGACGGGCGGCTCCCCGTGCCCCGGGTCCCCCTCCGCAGTCGCTGCCACGGCGGCTTCACCGTCAGACGCACCGGCCCGGAGCACGCGCCCAGGCTCAAAGCCCAGCTCGGCTATTTCCTCGGTCAGCAGGACGCTGACCCCCATGGTGCCGCGGATTCTTCATCTGCAGGCCCGACGTCTACGTGGAGACACAGATGCCCGCACGCCGCCTGTTCTCCCGTTGTCACAGGGCCCACACCAGACCCCTTTGGCATAAATATCAGATCCTGATTAAACCGGCCCCAACCGACCCTTCCAGCCCCGTTGCTGACGGAGCGCGTGTGCCGCCCCCTCCCCAGATTCCTATGTTGAAGCCCTGCTCCCCGGGGCGGGGCGGGGGGGGGTGACAGCATGAGGGGGTGGGTCTTGGGAGGTCACTAGGGCAGGTGCGGAGCTCACAGAGACACCTGCCTGGTGGTCGTGCACAGGTATGAGTGTTCCCTCACTCAGCCAGAAAAACTCAGATAGGGAGCGCCCACCGTGTGCTGCGCCCGTGCGTATGCGCGCACGTCCGCCCGGGACCCCCACCCTGAGCCTCCGACCCCCGTCACTCACCCCACAGACCCGCTCAGTGCCCACCGCCCAGCCGGGTCTGGACGCATCTCCAAGCGGCTCCACGGCACTTTGCACACACCTGTACGTGGAGCACGCGCATCACACGCTATCTGTGAGCATCCTACACGCTTCCATCACCGCACCGCCGCTCGACATCCTCCCCCACGAGACCACCCGGGACTGGGGCCCCATTGGGGACATCGAGCCAAGAGACACAAGGAAGCCAGAGAACAGGGCAGGAGGGAGGAGGCGGCAGCCTCCCAGAGCCAGGTCTCCCCAACCGCAGACCTGGGGAGGGTGTAAGCAAAGGGGGCGCGATAACCGCCTGGGGCCCGCGCACACGGGACCCAGCACGGATCTGGGGCAAGGGCACCAGGAGGTGACCGAGAGCAGGTCAGAGTCGGGAGCAGGAGGGTCAGCGCCGCGGGGGGGGCCCGTACCTGAGGGCTCAGAGGTGCACACACCCTGCAGGATGGCTGCGGGGCCAGCGGTCCCTCCGGAGCAGCCCTGGGGGCTGTGCTACTGACCCCCTGTCCCTCTGTGACCAGCGTCTCCCCTGCCCGCGGTGGCTGTCTGTCCTTCTCTGCTTCCGCAGGACGGCCGGGGGCTGGGAATGACTGGTGTCCAGGAAGCTGTGTCTGTCTGTCTGTCTGTCTTCCTCCGGAGACCCCCGGTCTGTGCGCACACAGTCCCTCCAGGCTTGGCTCCACCCATATGTGAGTCTTCCTCCTCGGCCACAGCCACCCCTTGGCCCCGGGGGCCTCACGAGGATGGACACCGTGTGCTCAACGAGCAACCAGACCGAGGGTCGGGCAGGCCACGAGCACCCACGCCGGTGCGCCCACGGCGGATGCGTCTTGTCGGGGAGGGTGTCCTTAGAGCCACGGCGGCCCCCGGGCACCTGGCAGGCAGGCCCCCTCTGCGCCCCCGGGGGTGCAGGCTCCAGGTCACCGTGGAAGTGTCCTCAGGTCCCCGCGCCAGAGACGCCGCCTTCCTTCCCCTTTAGGGCAAAGGTCAGTCCTTAAACCTGCTTTTCCTTCCTTCATTTTGTCATGAAAGATCCAACCCCGTAGGAAAGTTGAGAGAATCGCGGGGCGGCCGTTCGCCTGCATCCAGCTCCTGCGCCCTGCTGGGCTGGCTTCGTCATGGTCCCTGCGTGCCCGTGCCCCACCCCTGCCCCTGCCCAAGCCACCCAACCTTGGGTGCCCCCCGAAACGCTGCAGACCCAGGACAGTCAGCCCTGAGCCCCGCAGCTTGCTCACCGCGCCCGGCGTCAGGGCCGTTTCCAGCTTCCTTCTGGGGAAGGTCTGGCCGAAGGCCGAGGTCTAGCATGTGCGACTGCGTGGGCTCAGCCAGTGGGGCGGATGCAGCACAGACCCCCCTGGGGACACAGTTCCCGCTGCCCTGACCTATTCCCGCGCAGACCCACTCAGGCCCAAAGCCCGTGGGCGCTGCGCCGAGGAAGGCGGATTCCTCAGCCTCCTGCTCCCACTAACGCTGAGGCGGCCGCGGGTGGGCGTCCTGGGCAGCAGGGGCGGCCGCCAGAGGCTGGAGGCGCAGGTGGGCTGAAGTCCAGACGCTGCACACGAGTGGACGCGTCAGGACAGGCCGTAACCCCGCAGAGGAGGCCGGACCGGGGTACTGGCAGGGGCCTTCTGTGGGGCGTGTTTCCACGGGACATCACGGGATGCAAGCGACACAGGCAGGGGGCCCCGTCAGCCCAGCACAGCAGCACCTGGAGCCACGGGGGCGGTGTCCCCGGTGCCTCGGCTTCCCCCACGGGGGCTGAGCTTAGACATCTGACCCACAAGGAAGCTGCGCAAGCCCCCACCCCCCCACACCCCTCCCCCGTTAACCTGACGCCTTACGGGAGCCTGAGCTCCGCAAGCCGGCAGGGGAGTGGGTCAGGAGCAGGGTGCCTCCTCCAGGAGGCCCCCAGGGAACATTTGGAAAAGCCAGGGTGCAGAGCGCTTGGAGGCAGGACCCGTTGTGCAGGACAGCCCTGCCCTTGGCCACTGATGCCAGCAGGGCGCCGTCCTCCCGGGGCCTCCACCTGCCGTCCCCCGCGTCCCCCTCAGGCTCTGTCCCCACATCCCCCTCCACCTGCCATCCCTGCGTCCCCCGTGCCCCCAGAGGGCCTGTCCAGCCTGAGGGAGGTGTTATGATGACTATTATCTGCGGGTGACTGATGGGAACAGTGGGGGGTAGGAATGCCCCCCTCTCTCTGTCCCCTTCATTGGCCTCAGAGAGAAGCCAGTCCTTGGAGCTGTCCCCGCGGGAGGGACTCCAGGGCAATCCCAGCCAGGGAGGGGCCGGGTGGTGCCTCCAGGCAGGGGCGCCCAGCTTGGGTGACCCCACCTCTACGGGGCACAAGGGCGTATCCAAGGTTTCGGAGGGGCCCTGGGCCAGGGAGACAGAGAGCACCCCCAGCAAGCTCCGTGGGCCCGTGGCCACTTCCCCCCAGGGAAGAGGAGCCCGGCGCCCACGAGGAATTCCCAGGAGGCCTCGGTCACCATGTCCCCAGCTGCAGGTGCCAAGGGAGCTCGGGAGGAGATCCAGGGGTCACAGGAGTGGGGTGGGCCGCCCACGGGGCGGGGCTTGGGAAACGCAGAGGCCGTCTGGGGGGGTCGAGGGGAACGGCCAGCGGGAAGAAGGGCTGGGAGCTCGGCAGCTTTCTCCCCAGGCTGACCAGCCCCCACCAGCTCTTCTCTTTCCCTGGAGGGATAAGTGGTGCCGGATGCGGACAGAAGACCCCGAGGGGCACCCTGGCTCCAGCTCGGCGCAGGGAGGGCGGCAAGGAGGGTGCCAGCAAGGCAGCCGTGGCTGGTGTGGCCGTGGATGGCGGGTCGTGGATGGGACGGTGTGGACGGTGTGCTCGTGGACACTGTGGCCATGGGTGGGACGGTGTAGCCGTGGGTGGGAGAGTGTGGATGATGTGGCCATGGACAGGCCGGCCGTGGGTGGGACAGTGTGGGGGGGCCGTGAACGTACCCACACAGCCTTGAGTGGGCGCCGGGAGCCGCCTCTGGCAGTGGGTTCACAGGGGTCAGGGGCGTGAAGGCAGGGGAATCAAAGAAGGAGAAAGAAAAGTCTTGACTGGGGAGGTCACGTGTTATGGGGACGCGTGTGTCCACCACCAGCCGGTCACCTCCGGAGCCAGCAGGCCAGCAGGAGAGAAGGACCCCGGGGTGGGGGTGTGGCCTGGGCCCGTGTGCAGGATGCTGCGAGCAGGAGAGCTGGCTCCAAGCGGGTTCTGTGGGTGTCCAAGCCCCAGGCTCATCCTCAGCTGGGAACAACCCCAATCTTAGTGCTCCCAGGCAGGTGGCCCTGCGCTCCCATCAGCTCCACCTACCCCAGGCCTGGGAAGGCATCTGGCCAAGGATGCAAACCCCTGGTGCCTAATTATTATCCTTCTAAGGCACTGAGGGCTTCAGGCTCAAGAGCGCGGCCCTGTGGGGAATCCTGCGCCTCAGGTGTGTGCGGCCCAGCTCGCCCCGGGCACGCGGGTTCCCATCCTCACACCTTCCTGCCCCGTTTCCAGGGCACATGGCCACTGCCCCTCGGGCTCCCGCTGGGGAACCTGCGCGGTGGCTCCCGGCGGCCAGTCCCGGACGAGCCTGCTGTGCCTCCCACGTCCGTGTCCAGCCGCCCCCGGATGATTGCTCGGCCACCTCCAGCTCAGGGGCGCCAGCTCAGCCCCCTACCTCCCCTACTTCCTGCTCGGTGGTTCCTTTCCTGCATCCCACGCTTGGCAAAGCGCGTGCCCACCTGCTCTAGCCACTGAGCCGCCCACCTGAGCCGCCCACTGAGCCAGCTCACCTGGCTCTAGCCACTGAACCGCCCACCTGAACCGCCCATCCCCGCAGCCTTGGCCGGTCCTCTTCTTCTGTCGGGCATGTCATGGGCCTCCCTGCGAAGTCCACCTTGGCCCCCTCAGGCTGTCCCAGAAAGAGCCCCACTGCTCTCCGAGCAGGGCTGAAGCTCTGGGGGCAAGGTCTCAGTGCTTAGGGGCCAGAACCCTGCCACCCTGGCTGTGGCCGGGGGCTCCGAGGAGGGGGGAGGCCACAGGTGCCACCTTGGTGTAGCCCCCCCAGCCCCCAGGCCCCAGCCTCCAGGTGGACCCAGTCTTAGTGATCTGACATTCACCCCCTGCGCCCATCCGGTGGTGGCCTGACCCCGGGCACAGTGGCCATCGGCCAAGGGCGGCCCGGGGCCATCAGGGAGCTGGGGTCACTGGGGAACCGGCCCCCAGTCTTCGGGACACACCTGCCCCTTAGCCTCCCTGCCAAGGGCCCCCCCACGGGCAAGGCCCTGAGCTCCTGGACCTGGGCCCCAGCCGCATCTGTGCCTCCTGGCCGCTGTCCACGGCCGCCACGTGCCGGGGCCGCATGACAGTGCTGCCCTGCGCGTGCGTCCCTGCCACCTGGCTTGTCCCCCACACAGCGGTCAGCAGTCTTGGCGGAGCAGCAGCCGAGCTATTGCTTCACGCTCCGGAGGCAAATAAACAGCACGCGGCGCTCCGGGCGACAGCTCTGGCAGGGACGCCTGGGCTCCAGGGTCGCCTTCCTGTTGTGACCATTTCCAGGCAACTGCAGCCTGGCTCTCGCCCAATCACACCCTTTCCTTTGGGGGGAAGCCCTGCTCCTTACCCACGGGGACACGGAGCAGGTGCAAGCCGCAGGCACACGGTGACGGCACATTGTTTACGATCTGCAGGTTTCACCACACCGACTCCCCAAAATAGCGGGCGCTCGGGGAAACGGTCGTGCCCTCCTGGAAGAGGAAGGGAGCGGAACGGCGCGGTCAGCGGCGGCTCCCGTCCCCCGAGGGCGCTTATTCGAGGGTCTAGGGAGGACGCTGGGGCCGGCATGTGCTGTCCCCGGGGTCAGCACAGGCCCAGGCGGGGGACAACCACAGTTGGGGGTGGCCCAGGCCGCTAGGGAAACAAATGGCTCAGATGTCCCCAGGGCACCAGGGCCCAGGCTTGCAGCCACTTCCAGACCTTGCAAAACGTCCCCCTGGGCCTTGAGAACCCCGTGCCCCAGTGTAGCCCTCAGGGCCTCCTCCAGGGGGCCCTGGCCCTGCCCTGCCTGGGCGGTGGGGCCCCCCCACCCCACTGTCCCCTCGGGACGCTTCCCTGGAGACTCTGGAGGCTCCAGCGAATGGGGAGCCCTGCCCCTGAGGCCGCCCTGCGCTGGTCCCAGAGGGGCACCTGCCCACTTGGAGCTTTGCCCCCAGCTGCTCCCCGCCTGCCTTCCCAGGGGGCCCCCACTAGGCCACCCCCACCCCAGAGCTCCACAGGCCTGGCGATGGGGCACGTGGCCCTCTCCCCCTCTTCACCCCACGCAAGGCCGGGGGTGCCCAGCTCCCTGTGCTGTGAGCGGGAAGGAGGCTCGGGGCGTGAGGGGCGGTGTGGGGCTGGAGCTCCCGGGGCCCAGGGTCCACGGGCCGCGGTGAGACCATGAGCTGAGTGAACCCAGTCGCCGTGGTGTCCACCCCCCCCCATGCATTCCAGATGCAGGGACAGAGCCCAGTGGGCCCTTGGGTGGGGACCCTGCAGGGAGGGGGCCCAGGATGCTGAGGGCTTGTGCAGGGAGTGGGCGGTGACCAAGCACCCAGGGAGCTGGTGGGGGCAGTGGGGGGCAGTGGGGGCCGTGGGGGCCGTGGGAACTGGAAGGACGTTCACCATGTCAGCTGGATTCCCTGCGCCTCCTCATGTTCAGGGGCTGCCTGAGTTCTCGGGGATCGCCTGCAGGGCCCCCCACCCCATGCCTGTAGTTCCTCTGTTTCCCTGGGACCACGTACAGGTTCTGAATGCTGGTCCCTCGCCGACCCCACGGAGCCCACGTATCTTCCTCCCGTCTGAGTCACTTCATGTACACAAATCTGCTCTATTTCAGGAAAACACAGCCTTCTTTTGAGGTGCGGGGAGGCGCGGCCAGGGCAGGCTGGCCTGCAGTCACCGTGTCGCCCCCACCGTCCTGCACGATTCGATCGCTTCTCTGGGTCTCCAACGAGTCTCCCTGCGTCTGTTTGTAGGGCGCCTGTCCTTGGGCCCCGAGGAGGGAGGGGTTTCCATACCCTCCCTACTTACTGCTGGTATTTGAGAAAGACGCGGATTTTTTTTTTTTAAGCTCACCGTCAGCACACATTTTGCTGAATTCTTCTTTGTTCAGACTTTCTCCATTTATTGTCTTCGGATTTCTTTCTCTTGGTTAACCCGCAGGTTTCATTGGCAGCGATGAACGGAACACCTACCAGAGGTCGGCCTGTTCAGCACCCATCATGAGGGCAAAAGACAAAACCCCTGCCGTCGTCGGGCGCCTGCGGGGCTCAGGGGGTTGGGCGACCGACCCTGGATTTCAGCTCGGGTCGTGACCTCGGGGTGCTGGGATGGAGTCCACGGCGGGCTCCCTGCTCAGCGGGGCGTCTGCTTCTCCCTCTCCTTCTGCCTGATGCTCTGGCTACTGGTGCTCGCTCTCCCTCTCTCTGCAGGTGGAAGGAAAGAAAGAAAATCTTAAGAAAAAAGGGTTATTAGAGTTCCTGTTAATGGGTCCTACTCGTCAATGGCCAGACAACAGATCCTTCCAATTGGCTACACTTAAAGGCAAAACTCCCTCTATAGGGAGCTCTTGATGCGTCTTATTAGTGTAACGGCCAGTCTCGGGGACCCCCCTTGACAGGGAGAGAGAACAGAAAGTAGACTTAAATAAATAAATCACCACCAATGTAAATTCCTCTTCTTTAAACAGCCTCATTTGCCTGTTTTAACTTCCGTCCCCCCGGAAGGCTTCCCGAGAGCACTCGGGCCTACGCTCCAGGTTCTACATGGACAGTTGCTCCAGGAAACGCTGGAGGCAGAAAATGCACCTAACACAGGCACCGGGGTGGCGTCGCCCTGGCTTCCGGGGCTGTGCGTTCGGCTCCGCCGGCCGCCGTGTCCCCGTGAGCCTTCCTCCACCGTGTGTACCCCGGGCCCCCTCCACGTCCCTCATGGGCTGTCCCTTAAACAGGTGCCCCCTGCACCCCCCGCCCCTCTGCCCGAGCAGCGCATCCCCTGGACAGCAACCGAGCTCTTGAGAAGCCCCTGCACCTCTGCTACCAACGTCAGAGGGAAGTTCGACGGGTTCATGACTAGTCGCCAAGCCCCTGCACGGAGGGAACGGGAGCGCCACCTCCCCCGGCCTCCTGCACACGGTCTCCCGAGGCCACTGACTCAGAAGCTACCAGAAGCCAGAAAGGAGGCTGCTGTTAAAGTGCTTCGTCGTACAGACCTCACGCAGAGATACGACCTTCTGGGGCGCCCGGCAGCCTCCGTCGGAGCCTGCGACCACACTGGGTGCAGACATTATTTAAAAAAACAAAATCTTAAAAAAAAAAACACACATAAAGACAGAAGTCTTTTGGTTTTCATTTTAGTTAAAAAATCTCCCTGATGTAAAAACAAATATTAGTTAAAAAGACAGGCCACCCTCTTGCTGTTGGGGCCGTAACCTGGTTCCTCGGGAATTTAGAGACAACGGTCTGTCTCCCAAATCTCTACAAAACCAGAAACGCAGCCCTGAAGCCGGGTGGAGGCCCACACGCTGCCCCCATCCCCTCGCCTCCCCTGCTCCTCCCAGAGTGTTGTGGGTTTTAGAAAAGGCCAGGGTGTTGGGACAAAACGGTCCCGTGCTTAAGAAAAGGAGGACACGTTTTAATAGCAATTACTCTGAGACTCTAGGGAAGAAAATGTTTTTACATTCCTTCTGTCCCTTAAAAATCTAAATGTTTAAGATGTACGCACGGCTGGGACTCACCGAGGCTGCGGGAAACGCAGGGGGAGGAGGCCTCCGTGGCCACCAGCGCCTCCCCAACCGCCCCAGGGACGCGGGGCGCCCCCTGTGCCTCGGGCCGAGGCAGGTTTGCTGGGCCGGGCCCGTCCACCGGAGAGCGGGGCGCCCGCTGCCCCCCGCTGGGGCCGCAGCACCCTAGGTGTGGGGGGAAGCAGGTGCGGCCAACACGGGCCCCCAAACTCAGGCGGAGCCTGGCGGGGCTTAGTCGGGCTCGCGTCATCTGGAAGGTGGCCGGCGCTGGCGCACAGTCACTTGCTGGTTTGACGAAGTGCGGAGACCGGGCCCGGAGCCGAGGCCAAGAAGGAACCCCTGACACGTCCTTGGTCTCGAGACCAAAATGCTGGTTTTCTCGGAGCCCGGGGACGGGACGGTGGCGGGCAGGGCGGCCGATTACACACCGGGAGTTGGGGCCGATTCCCAAAGGACTTTCACCTGCTAAGTTGGACCTCCGAGGCCTTGCCATTGTCAGGTTAAAGACCGCTTTCCCCTGCGGCATCCACACTGAGACCATTGGAGACTTCCCGAAGAACATCCCGCGTGTGCGCCAGGTGGGGTGGTTGGCCGGAGTCGGCGGCTGCGTCCTCCGCTAGCCCTGCTCCCTCGTCAGGCTCAAGGAAAACAGATGTGTCCTTAGGATTCCCAGGTGAGGGGCGCCTGGGGGGCTCAGGCGTTGGGCAGCTGCCTTCAGCTCAGGTCATGACCTCAGGGTCCTGGGATCGAGCCCCGAGTCCGGCTCCCCTGCTCATACTCTCTCTCTTAAATAAGTAAAATCTTAAAAATAAAGAAAAAGAATTATCAGCATTAAATAGAAGACTTTGCTTCTGCTTCTGCTGACCCGAAGTCAAATACATCCACGTTGTCTCCTGCAAAATTTGTCAGGAAACGTAAAACGGTATGGGGAGCGGGAATGTATTTTTTTGGTTTAGGGAGAAGAAAGGTGGTTTTGTCCTAAGTGAGTCTGGTTGTTTGGGGAACAAGCTTAGCGCTGAGGAGCCCAAGGCGAGCTGAGGACAAAGCCCTTGCTGAGACCCCTCACCCCCACCCCACCCCACCCCACCCCACCCCAGGAGGGATGCCTGGACCGTCCTCACCCCCTCCCGCTGCCCTAAGGCTAAGGGAGGGAAAACGACGGGTTAATTTACAGAGATTTACAGTCCTCAAGACCCGGAGTCTTAAGTCTGTTGGTATCATTAAGATAGACGTGCCTAAAAAAAAAAAAAAAAAAAAAAAGATAGATGTGCCTTTAGAGGTGTCGGCATTAAATATGGAACTTTTATTCTCTCGAGGTTTGCTGAAGATCAAATAAGCTGCTGTTATCTGTTGTCATTTGTTAGCAAAAAATTGAGTTAGGATGGTTAACCTTGTGTGTCTCAAATTCTCATGGGTAATTGTTAAGGTAGCTTTCAAAGTCTTCGGAGACCCTGAACTTTAAAATTCTGCTTGGATGATAAATGGGGTTGGATGGGGTTGGGCATCTAGGTCTTACAAGCAGCGCTAAAGCCTGGGTTACTGGGCGTAGGTTCGTGCTTACTGCAGAGAAACTGAGGATGTTTGGGGCTGTTGGTAAACACGCTTTGTGCTTAACCGGTTCATAAATTTGCCGTAAAAAAAAAAAAAAAGGTAATTTTATCCTAAGTGAGACTGATTGTTTAGAAAGAAATGGCTTGGTTCAAAATCTGAATGCAAAGGAAAGCTGTGGATCTGTGAAGGGCTATCTTTGGAAAGAAATTTTAGGTGTGGTCAGGATGACCAAAATCAAAATGAATGGATTTTAAAAGTAGAGTGTTAGGAGATTGGAACACTCCTCTCTCCATCCAAAAAACAAAGTTGTCTAGAATTGTTGGTCCGCTCTTGATAAGAAAATGTAAACAAAGTTTTTTTTTTTCCTCTTTTGTCTGCCCTGAAAACCAGTTCCCCTGCTTTGTCCTTATCAGGTCTTTGATGATTGGGTTAAAACTTCTCAATATTACAGGAGCTAAGTTTTGCTAACAACGACAGAACCCTGAGTATTTGCCTTTGGAAGCTCTTATTGTCACCTTGGTTAAATAAAATTTGAGTTTTATAATGATCTGCAATCCTGTTTAGGTACACACAATAACTTCCTGTGTGCCATAAAAGTGGGATAACTTTTTAACAAACTTCCCAAGATTTAAATTGTAAATGAGGCCTCTGACTCATTCGGCCTTTTTGTTTGGTAGGTTCAGTTACTCTGGACGCACTATTAAATAATAAGCCTTAGGTTGCATTGCTTCAATATAAGGTCATCACTTGATATTTCGATTATTAGAGTGTTGTGTGTCACAGAAATAACCCGTTTTCCTTGCCAGCCATATTGTAACCTCTCATCAGATTTTTGACCACATCCATTCTGAGTTTTTGTCACTTATAATTATTCTCTTGCAAAATGAGTTTCATCTTCAAGGAGATTCATATAAAGGATTTGGGACAAATACAGGTATTTGATAGATTTAAAATCCTAAAACAGGAAATGGGTAAGAATTTCCAGAACTCACTAAAGCTGCATTCAAACTGAACAAGAATGAGCAACATATGGGACTAGATGAACTAAAAAAGATGATTATAGTTTTGTGACTCTTGTTTGAAACACTGCTGGTTCTCTAATGTTTGCTCTTCCAGATTAAGGAAATTGCTCTTAAGATATCTATGACTTATAGAAACGTGATAAAGTATGCATTTGCGAGCAAATTGAAGCATTTAGCTTTTCTCCCTACCTGAGCACTCTGATAGTCAACAGGTCTCAGTGAGTATTCTCTCTTCCATGGCAACAATGGTCATTTGCGCAAGTTCTCTGAGAACTTGTTCTCCTTGTAACGGGACATCATGGCAAACATTGTTTATTTACCAAGGCTTTGACTGGAATGTCATAGCTGAGGGAGACACGCATAGACTCAGATGGCATCAAACAGCTTCCAGGAACTAAGGTTGACGTTATGAAACTTGGAACCATAAATCCCCTTGGAACTGATGCCTGGTTATGGAGTCCCAGCAGCCTCACCAGGTGAGTAGAGAATGTCGCTTCCTGGCAGGTGCAGGAACCTCAGGATACCTTGGGGACCTTGTGAAGACAAATCCGTTCACAACTACGGGTATTGCAGGCACATCCGATGGCAAGTACTTGGTTTGGCTCCTGGCCTGGGGAGGCTACTAAGAGTTCAACGTAGGGATTCCTTATAAAAGTTCCAGCAAAGCAGAACCTAAAAGATCTATATGGGGGCGTCTGGGTGGCTCAGTCCATTGAGCGTCTGCCTTGGGGCCAGGTCATGATGGAGCCCCAGGTGTGGCTCCCTGCTCAGTGAGGAGCCTGCTTCTCCCCCACCCTCTGTCTGCCACTCCCCCTGCTTGTGCTCGCTCTCTCTCTTAAATAAATAAATAAATAAATAAATAAATAAATAAATAAATATCTTTAAAAACGTAAATAAATAAAGTCACAACCCAATATAGCTTCTTTAAAAAAGAAAATAAACTATTTTGACCACAACCTAATGGAAATCTACCAGAGAACTCCTGGAAATTTATTTTTTTTTTTTTTAGGAATTAAACTAATTAGGCGTATTGATATATAAAACACATGGCAGGGACACCTGGGTGGCTCAGCGGTTGAGCATCTGCCTTCAGCTCAGGGTGTGATCCTGGGGTCCCGGGATCGAGTCCCACGTCGGGCTCCCTGCACGGAGCCTGCTTCTCCCTCTGCCTGTGTCTGTGCTTTTCTCTCTCTCTCTGTGTCTCTCATAAATAAATAAATAAATAAACAAATCTTAAAAAAAAAAGACAAGGGCTTTTCTACGTGTCTCTCATGAATAAATGAATAAAATCTTTAAAAGAAAGAAAAAAGATAAGGGTTTCATTTCTATTTATTTATTTTTAAAGATTTTATGTATTTATTCATGTGAGACACAGATAGAGGCAGAGACACAGGCAGAGGCAGAAGGAGGCTCCCTGCAGGGAGCCCGATGGGGGACTGGACCCCCCGGGGCCAGGGATCATGACCTGAGCAGATGCTCACCCACTGAGCAGATGCTCACCCACTGAGCAGGCGCCCTTAAAACAAGAGTTTTAAAGATCATATGAAACTCCCAGAAATGCGATGTCCTGGGATGATGCTATTACCTTGAGATGTTGTGTGTCACAGAAATGACCAAATTTCCTTCATTGCCTCGAAGTGAGCTCTCCTCAGATCTAGAATGAGGTTTGTACAGACAGTCCTACTCTACTCAGATGCTTTATTTATTTTTATTTTAAAGGTTTTGTTTATTTATTCCTGAGAGACACAGAGAGAGAGGCAGAGACACCGCGGGAGCTCTGCAACTGTGGCTCGCCTTCTGTGATACTATGGGGGAAAAATGATCGGAGGCCAGGTTTCTAATAATGTTAGGATCATAAGACGGGGCTGGGTAAAAATGTCCAGAACTAGTGAAAAAGCTGTATCCAAGCAGAACAAGAATCGGCTGGTTACATGGGAATAAATGAACTAAGGAGGACTATTCTAATTTTTATGACTTTCTGTTGACTTTCAAAAAAGTGTTTTGTTTTTGCAGATTTTAAGACCACTCTTTATCTTCAGCGGACTCACAGCAAACTGACAACATCTTCCTTTGTGAACAAATGGAAACATTTATCTTCCGTCTGTACGTGCATCCCCCGGGGTGCATGAATTGGCGAGTGAATTTATGTGCACAGGCCCGACAAGAATCTGTTCCCTGTAAACAGGACATGGGTGGGAATCACTATTTTTGCTGCATTAATCAATAATCAGGCCAGGTTTTCTGACAACTAGACAGACTTGGTCTACAAATTGACGTTAATGGGAATATCTCCAGTGAAAATGAGGGTGACTGTAGACTGTAGACATTTGCTTCTAGGAGGGATCGTCCTAAACAGGACTGCGCCGTAGCCGCAGTTCTGCAGCCGAACGCTGTTCCCTCACCTTTCCCACTTGGGGTCATTGCAGGTTAAGCACAGCTCTTTCCCCGGGAGCCCCGCCAACCGAGGGCGAGCCCCTCGGGTTAAAGCAGTGCTGATCCCGGCATGCCCCAAATTACACCGTTGCTGCCGTTTGCATGTAGGATGTACAGGGTAAGCTGCTCTAAGTGTGGATGGTGAATCTTTCAAAATTTCTTCAGGGAACGCAGGAGCTTCAGAAAAGTCTGATGACCAGTGGCCTAAAAACAGCCCTGCTTTCCCCGTGGGGAGCCGCTTCTCCCTCTGCCTGTGTCTCTGCCTCTCTCTGTGTCTCTCATGAATAAATAAATACATAAATAAATAAATAAATAAATAAATAAATAAATAAATAAATAAAATCGTAAAAAGCAAAAACAAAAACAAAACAGGCCTGTTTTGGGGCGGGGAAGGTGAGCGTCTGCACAGGGTCAGTTGTGCAGGTCTCCCTGTCACCATGACTGTCATCACCGCCGTCACCACCATCATCGTCACCACCACCACCACCACCACCACCATCACCACCACCACCACCACCACCACCACCATCATCGTCACCACCACCACCACCACCACCACCACCACCACCACCATCACCACCATCACCACCACCACCACCACCACCACCACCACCATCACCACCACCACCACCACCACCATCATCGTCACCACCACCACCACCACCACCACCACCACCATCATCGTCACCACCACCACCACCACCACCATCACCACCACCATCATCGTCGTCACCACCACCATCATCGTCGTCACCACCACCATCACCACCACCACCACCACCACCATCATCGTCACCACCACCACCACCACCACCACCACCACCACCATCACCACCACCACCACCACCACCGTCACCACCACCACCACCACCACCACCATCGTCACCACCACCACCATCACCACCACCACCACCACCACCACCATCACCACCACCATCACCACCACCACCACCACCACCACCATCACCACCACCACCACCACCACCACCGTCACCACCACCACCACCACCACCGTCACCACCACCACCACCACCACCGTCACCACCACCACCACCACCACCATCATCGTCACCACCACCACCACCACCACCACCACCATCACCACCACCACCACCGTCACCACCACCACCACCACCACCGTCACCACCACCACCACCACCACCATCATCGTCACCACCACCACCACCACCACCACCACCACCATCACCACCACCACCACCGTCACCACCACCACCACCACCACCACCATCATCGTCACCACCACCACCACCACCACCACCACCACCACCATCATCGTCACCACCACCACCACCACCACCACCACCACCATCATCGTCACCACCACCACCACCACCACCATCACCACCACCACCACCACCACCGTCACCACCACCACCACCACCACCGTCACCACCACCACCATCACCACCATCATCGTCACCACCACCACCATCACCACCACCACCACCACCACCACCATCACCACCACCATCACCACCACCACCACCACCACCACCATCATCGTCACCACCACCACCACCACCACCATCACCACCACCATCATCGTCGTCACCACCACCATCATCGTCGTCACCACCACCACCACCATCACCACCACCACCACCACCACCATCATCGTCACCACCACCACCACCACCACCATCACCACCACCATCATCGTCGTCACACACCATCATCGTCGTCACCACCACCACCACCATCACCACCACCACCACCACCACCATCATCGTCACCACCACCACCACCACCACCACCACCACCACCATCACCACCACCACCACCACCACCATCACCACCACCACCACCACCACCGTCACCACCACCACCACCACCACCACCATCGTCACCACCACCACCATCACCACCACCACCACCACCACCACCATCACCACCACCACCACCACCACCGTCACCACCACCACCACCACCACCGTCACCACCACCACCACCACCACCGTCACCACCACCACCACCACCATCATCGTCACCACCACCACCACCACCACCACCACCACCACCACCACCATCACCACCACCACCACCACCACCACCACCACCATCACCACCACCACCACCACCACCACCACCACCACCACCACCACCATCATCGTCACCACCACCACCACCACCACCACCACCACCATCATCGTCACCACCACCACCACCACCACCATCACCACCACCACCACCACCACCGTCACCACCACCACCACCACCACCGTCACCACCACCACCATCACCACCATCATCGTCACCACCACCACCATCACCACCACCACCACCACCACCACCATCACCACCACCATCACCACCACCACCACCACCACCATCATCGTCACCACCACCACCACCACCACCATCACCACCACCATCATCGTCGTCACCACCACCATCATCGTCGTCACCACCACCACCACCATCACCACCACCACCACCACCACCATCATCGTCACCACCACCACCACCACCACCATCACCACCACCATCATCGTCGTCACCACCACCATCATCGTCGTCACCACCACCACCACCATCACCACCACCACCACCACCACCATCATCGTCACCACCACCACCACCACCACCATCACCACCACCATCATCGTCGTCACCACCACCATCATCGTCGTCACCACCACCACCACCATCACCACCACCACCACCACCACCATCATCGTCACCACCACCACCACCACCACCACCACCACCACCATCAACACCACCACCACCACCACCATCACCACCACCACCACCACCACCGTCACCACCACCACCACCACCACCACCATCGTCACCACCACCACCATCACCACCACCACCACCACCACCACCATCACCACCACCACCACCACCACCGTCACCACCACCACCACCACCACCGTCACCACCACCACCACCACCACCGTCACCACCACCACCACCACCACCGTCACCACCACCACCATCACCACCATCATCGTCACCACCACCACCATCACCACCACCATCACCACCACCACCACCACCACCACCATCACCACCACCACCACCACCACCACCATCACCACCACCACCACCACCACCACCACCACCACCACCACCGTCACCACCACCACCACCACCACCGTCACCACCACCACCACCACCACCGTCACCACCACCACCACCACCACCATCATCGTCACCACCACCACCATCACCACCACCACCACCACCATCACCACCACCACCACCACCACCATCATCGTCACCACCACCACCACCACCACCACCACCACCACCACCATCACCACCACCACCACCACCACCGTCACCACCACCACCACCACCATCACCACCACCACCACCACCACCATCATCGTCACCACCACCACCATCACCACCACCACCACCACCACCACCACCACCATCACCACCACCATCACCACCACCACCACCACCACCACCATCACCACCATCATCGTCACCACCACCACCACCACCACCACCACCACCAGCACCACCACCGACTCTTTCCCCTCCCACTGTGCTTTCCCTGGACCCGCAACGCACTTGGGGGCTGCTCAGCCTCCCCGGCTGCTGCCCCCACCTCTGCGGGCACCTCCCCGGAATGCCCTGGGTCAGGGTCCAACAAGCCCCGCATGGCACTTGCCGGAGGGCCCCAGGTGAGAGAGAAAACCCGCTTGCGGGAAGAAACACCTGTCCTTAAACATTTCCTGGTAATCGTCCATAGAGAGTTCAGAAGCCTGGCTAGTTAGTATGTATGTATGTATGTATGTATTTGATTTATTGATTTTATTTATTGATTTATCGATTTATGATTTCATTTATTCATAGAGACCCAGAGAGAGCGGCAGAGACCCAGGCAGAGGGAGAGGCAGGCTCCTGCGGGGAGCCCGGGAGCCCGACGCGGGGCTCGATCCCGGGACCCGGGGCCACGCCCTGGGCCGAGGGCGGCGCTGAACCGCTGAGCCCCGGGGCTGCCCGAGGAGGCTTATTTAAAACGTGTAGGTTTTGGTAAGGCTGCAGGATGTGCCATCCACGAAAATAAGCGATCAAATGAGATTTAAGACCATTAAAACGGCATCAGACCTAGGAGTATTAGCGTTTCTGCGCGCTGCAAACAGACCCCGGCCAGGAGCCCGCGGAGGGCCTCGGGTCAGGGCGCGCGCGGGGCGGGGGGCGGGCTCGGTCCGAGGATGCGGCTCCGACCGGGGACCGCGGGCGCGCAGACCCCGGGGCCGTCCGGATGGGGAGCGGGCTCAGGGCCGGTCTGCATCTGTGGGCGGGCACGGGGGGGGGCGGGCAGCGGGCGGCGGGGCGGGCACCCGGGTGCGCATGCGCCTGGTCGGTCCTGCGCGCCGGGGCCGCGCTGCCCCCGACGCTCCGCCCGACGCTCCCCGCCCGCGGCCCCGCCCCGCGAAGCGCGACCACCACCGCGTCCAGTCCCCGCCCCTCGCCGCGCCTGCGCACGCGCGCCTCGCTCCTCAGGGCCCCGCCTCACGCACGCGCGACCTGGTCCTCAGATCCCGTTCCGCGCACGCGCGCTGCGCCCCTTAGGCGAGCCCTGGCCTCGGCCCGCGCACGCGTCGCACGCGCCGCACGCGCCCCGCGCGCCCCTCGTCGTCGCGCACGCGCAGGCCCCGCCCCGCGGCCAATAGGCGCCGCCGCGGCTGCTCCGCTGTTTATCCGTCGCGCGTCCCGCGGCGCGTGTCAGTCGGTCCGGCCTCGGGCTGAGCTGCCCCGCGCCTGCGCCCTCGCCCGGCCCCCGGCCCCCGGCCCCCGGCCCCGTCCTCGGCGCCCGCCCCGGCCCGGCCCGCCGCAGCGCCGTCCCTCCGACGCCATGTCGCACAGCGGGACCCCCGGGCTGCAGGAGGAGAACTTGCAGGGTACGGGCGGGGGGGGGGGGCCCGGGGGGGCTCGGGGGGGGGCCCGGGGGGCGGGGGGCTCGGTGTGCGGGGGGGGGGGGGGACCCGGGGGGCGGGGGGCGGGGGGCTCGGTGTGCGGGGGGGGGGACCCGGGGGGCGGGGGGCGCTGGGGGCGCGGGGGCAGCTTGGACCGAGGTCGGGGTCCCCCGCGCCCCGAGCCGGGGCCGCCGTGTCCCGCCGTACCTGGCGCTGGCTCGGGAGCCGAGGCCGGGGAGGCTCCTGCCGAGTCGTGCGGGTCCGACGAAGCCGCCGCTGGTTCCGGGGGGACGGCCTGGGGGGCGCAGGGGTCCCCGCCGCCGGGTCCGCCGCCGCCGCCGCCGCCCTGCGCTGTGAGACAAACAGCGCAGAGGCGAGTCGCAGGTAACGGGGCTCCGCCTGCGCCGGGCGGTCATTCCAAAACGCAGCTTGAGGTTGATCTGTGGGTGGAGAAAAACACAAGCAGAAGGTCCCCGGGCTGCAGGCCGCGCAGAGCCCGCGACACCCGCCCCCCCCACACCTGCGCCCCCGACACCCGCCCCCCGACACCTGCACCCTGGCACCTGCCCTCCTGACACCCGCCCCCCACACCTGCACCCTGGCACCTGCCCTCCTGACACCCGCCCCCCAACAACCTGCATCCGACATCCCCACACCTGCACCCCCCACACCTGCACCCCCGACACCCGCCCCCATACCTGCCCTCCTGACACCTGCACCCCCGACACCTGCACCTCCGACACCTGCACTGCCCTGTCTGGGGAGCTGGGGCCCAGGGCACGGGCCCTGCTGGCTCCTGGCACTGCGCCCTGCCTCCCGGGTCTTATTCCCGTAGGGGGGCCGGCTGGCCCCATGGAGTCCCCAGGGCCCCCGGAGGAGCCCGGTGGCCCATGACCTTTGTATTCTCTGAAGCAAGAGTTAACTAAACAAAATGAGTGTGTAAATAGGCATGGAGAGGGCTGCACGGACCGCTGAGGGGGTGTTTCAAGGCTGTTAAAATCCCGATTTCAGGTAGACCTAGCGAGCTGCCAATTACTTTTCTTGTTCCTTAGCACAGTTTTACCGAGCAAGATGTTGTCTCGTGCAGTGCGTAACGTGTCTTTAAAAACTGCGACCACTTTTTACAAGTTCCACAATCTATAAAATTCAACATTGACTATTCTCTTCTTTGAAACAAATACATGGATTAAGGGTTTGAATTTTCTCCGTCCCATGTAAGATCCAAGGGTGTTGTGTAGACTCTGCCTTAGGATCATCCTCTTTCTAGGTATCAAGCTCCTTATTTTCCAACATTGTATATTTTGCTCGCAGGCTGGGATTTGGTGTCTGGAATGTTGAGCGTCCCTGGGGGGGCCCAGATCTCCTTTCCTTGACTGACCCCAAACTGCTGAGTCATTGGCAATGCAAAACTGCCAGCTTATGAGTTAAAAAGATTTGTTTTTCTGTTTTGCTTATTCTATAAAAAGATGGTTACACACTGAGTGGAAATTCACGTTTAAGGCTTCTTGGGCCGTTCTCTTGAGTGTACGTGCTGCAGGGCACTGGCTCCGCATCAGCCCCAGGTGGGTGGAGTCACTTGCATCACATCACGTGGGGCCACCGCACAGCTGCCCTAAGAAATGTGAATCCAGGCCTGGTTCCTGGCTGAGGCAGCGCCTGTCCCCTCTCTGCTCTGATTTGATCACCTCTTGTTGATGTTTGAACCAGGTCCTGAGCGAGCCCTGGTGAGCCTGCAGACTACAGCAGACCTCTTCCCTGCGGAGTTAAGGGCAAAATCGTTCCTTCCTACCCCCAGACCGTTCTGGTCTAAGCTGTTGTCTGGCAAGATAACGCAAGTGCCTTTCCCCTTAGGCCCGCGGCTGCCACGGTGCTGCCGGGAAACCGAATCGAGGGGAGGGGTTGCATCACTGACGCCCACGGGACCCCGGAACACCAAGCCGAGTTGCTCCTGAGCACATGGCTTAAGGAGGGAGCCCGCCACCCCGCGCCCAGCGCCTTGCCTGCACAGTCCCGTGGTTCGGTTGTCACAGGCAGCCCACCATGGGCAGAGGGGTCTGAAGAGAAAAAGTGAATTTCTTTTCAAGGGAGATGATGGTGTTGTGAAGTGTACCACTGAAGGTGTTCTACACACTTAGATCCTAGCCCAACACCCACATCTCACAGATGGCCTCTGTGAGGCCCAGAGGCTAAGTGGGAAATAGGGCAGGCGACCGCAAGTAAAGGACGCGTCGGGCTCGCCACGCAGGGCCAGTGGGATGCTGGGAGCCTGGGTCCGCATCCTGTCACCAGGCTCCTCGGCCACCACCTGGCCAGAGGAGACGCAGGCTTAACCAGGCCTTGTTCGCAACCAGGATCCTGAGTCACCCTGTGGACTCTGAGTTGAGTTGGAGGTCACGAGTGTCTTGTTCCTCTCCCACTTAACTTGAGGAGCTTTTTAAAACATTTTAAGGGATCCCTGGGTGGCGCAGCGGTTTGGCGCCTGCCTTTGGCCCAGGGCGCGATCCTGGAGACTCGGGATCGAATCCCACATCGGGCTCCCGGTGCATGGAGCCTGCTTCTCCCTCTGCCTGTGTCTCTGCCTCTCTCTCTCTCTCTCTGTGACTATCATAAATAAATAAAATTAAAAAAAATAAATAAAACATTTTAAAAGACTTTATTTATTCATCCATGAGAGAGGCAGAGAGGCAGAGACCCAGGCTCCATGCAGGGAGCCCGACGCGGGACTCGATCCCGGGTCTCCAGGATCACATCTGGGCTGAAGGCGGTGCTAAACCATGGAGCCACCCAGGTGCCCCCACTTGAGAAGCTTTTATTTACTATATATTTTCTAAAAGTTTTATTCACTCACTTGTAAATAATGGTTATATTTGCAGAAAGGTTTTAGAACGTGCCGTTTGGTAAATCAAGCCCCCGCTCCCAGAGAAGAGGCCCTCAGAATAGGGTGCCAGGGCTTCGCAGTGCTTTCCCCCCCGGGATGCCCCAGCTTCACCCACGGCCCCGTGTTCTTTCATCCCACTGCCCTGTAGGTTATTGGGAAGCCTGCCACCCCCGTGCCCTGTGCTTTCCAACCCTGGCTGCCCAACATCGCCGTTACGACTTTTTCACAACCCCCGCTCCAGGGCTCCAAACCAGAGTGCGGAGGGCTGGGCCCGGCTTCGGAGCAGCGGGAGAGCCGGCAGGGACCCCGCACAGCCGGGTGGATGCTGCCCCGGGAGGTGGAGCGGGCCGGGGCCGGGGTGCCCTGGTTCTGGGTCTGTCGCAGTAGAGGCCGGTGGGCACCTCATCTCTAGCTTGTTCAGAGGTGTGACGTGGGCTCGCTGTGGCTGCCGTGCGTCTCGTTAGCGCTGGGAGGCGGATGTTGGGGGGGGAGCTGAAGGCAGAAGGGGCTTCCTTGAACCGCTGCCTGTTGCTTTGATTATACCGAGTTCCTTAATAGTTCTTTGTGATTCTGATGTGTCGAAGCAACCTTAATTCTCTCTCTTGCTTAAAAAGATGAGTGATCCTAACAGTGGCGTGATGTGGGCAGACTAACAGCGAGCCCGGTGTCCCCTCGCCAGGAAGTGTGCTTCCTGCCCCGTTGTTGCAGGTTAATAATAAAACTCTCATCCTAGTAAATCATTCTTGGAATACAGCTTTTGGACCCAAAGCCTTTGCTATAGACCGTAGTCTAGAATGGGATTTTTTGTTATTCCAGGATGCTTGGGGCTTTTTAGGACACGATTCTTCAAAACACGAGTGTGTCTTATGTGAATCTTGAGTTGGCCCTTGTCACATAAATGTCACAAAAAAATACATACATGTCTGTACCTGATAGTGTTACATGGCAGTTATATCTCGGTGTGTTTGTTATTTTTTTAAGGATTTTATTTGTAAGTAACCTCTACACCCTAACATGAAATGTGAACTCACAACCCAGAGATCAGGAGTTGCACGCTCCTGGCTGAGCCAGCTGGGCACTCCAAATAGATCTGCTTAAAAAATGTATGTGGTCTGTTCCCTGCTTCCTGGCACAGAGCTCCAAAAATCCTTGGAATTTCTTGAGTAATACTAGTGGCTTATTGATAAAGAGCCCCTTTGGAACACACGGAGTCTGCTAGTGAGGTGACTTGGTGGGACCCTGGGGCCCCCCCACGTGGGTGGGAGCAGAGGGAGGACACCCCCTCCAGGGACGGGAGGGGCGGGAGATTGGTTGGCAAAACTTCACAGGAGAAGGTGCGGAGGAGACTTGCGTTGGTGAACGTGCCGGCGTGCTTGGAGCTTGGCCTCCCTTCCTCATACCTGCCCCGTGTGTCTTTTCAAGAGTTGGCTCTTTCCGAGTTGCATCTTTTTAAAAAAATATGAGAGAGCAAGCGGGGGACAGTACGACGTGGGGGTTGGGGGGAGAGGCAGAGGCAGAGGGAGCAGCAGACCCCCCTCGGAGCCCGGAGCCCGGAGCCCGGAGCGGGGCTGGATCCCAGGGCCCGGGCCCGGGCCCTGAGCTGAAGGCAGAGGCTTCGCCGACGGAGCCCCAGGTGCTTCCTGATAAATGGGTAAACGTAAGGGGAGCGTTCTCCTGAGATCTGAGAGGTGTTCCTGGGAACGACTGGGCCTGGGTGGGTGTTGGAGGAGCCCGGACATCGGACATCCGTGCTCAGCTGCTGTCTGCTGGAGGCGCCGTCTTGGGGGGCAGAGGGATCGAGTCATTGGACAGCCAGTGGGAGAGCCACCCCCAGTCACGTCAGGTTCATGACGTCATGGAGGACCCCGCACGTCAGACTCCACTGATGGCGGGCAGCCCGCGGAATCGGCGGCGCACCTCAGCGTCGTCGAGGGCGTGGAGGCAGGCCCGGCGTGTGGAGAAGCCACGGAGCCGGGGCTGGGACTGTGCCAGGAGCTGGTTTCCGAGCTGCCTGGGCGTCCCCGGGCAGGACTCCCACTCTGGAGCTTTTATAATGAGGCTTCGGGGTTAGGGGGCAGCAGCCTGGAGGAAAGCCGGCAGACGCGCGGTCTCGGGGGGGCCGGGGCGCGTGGCCCCGGAGTCCCCGCAGCTCCGCCGAGGCCCTGGCCTGTGCGCCCGGGCCCGCGTGAAGCGCTTGGGAAGTTGAAGAGGCAAACCGTGCGGCTGGGAAGCCTGCGTGACATTTTGTTGGCCGACTGGGAGGCTGACGTAAGCTGGCTGGTGGGGCCTGTGCTTTGCTTTTTTTCTGATTAACGCGACGTGAGAACAAGGTGCAGAGGGCAGGTGAGGATTCTCTGCAGAGACGTGCAGTCGGCGAGCCGGGAGGCTCGCGGGGCGGAGGGGGCGGCCCTGCGTGGGGCTCGGGCTGGGCGCCGCCGTGCCGCGGAGGGCCGTGTGCTTCCCTGTTGGTTTGGGAGCGAGGCAGCTCGGCCGGGACTGTGGCGAGACAGAGTGACTAGGGACGCGGCTCCTGGGCTCTCGGGTACCCGGCTGCCGTCTCCGCGGCCCGCCTTCGTCTGACAGGCACAGGCGCCGGAGACCCACAGACTGGAGCCACAGACAGACGGTCGGGCTCCGGGACAGACGTGTGCACGTTGCCAGGAAGCAGCACAGCAGAGGGCGCAGGGGCAGGCGGCTCGGGGCGCAGGAGCAGCCTCCGGAGGGCCACACGCCCAGCGGGAAGCCGGGCTCGGTGAACCCAGGCCGCGGGGGGCGGGGGGGGGGTCCCCGCAGCACCGATCTCCGTGGCCTCAGCAGGCAGAGACTGAAACTTTGCATTAAAGTCAAAGACTGTTGTTGCTCAGAACACGGCATTAGCTCTGAAAAGGCAAGGCCCAGGGAAGTCCCCTGCGGCCTGTGCAGATGAAGAGCGGCTTGTGTCTTGCACGTTGAGCTTCTACAGAGCGCGGGATTTTTGAGCAGCTTCTGTATGTCTTTCTTCTTTTCAGAGAGAGAGAGAGTGTGGAAGGGCAGAGGGGCAGAGGGCGCGAGCGTGCGCCTCCCTCTGAGCAGGAGCCCGATGCAGGGCTCCACCCAAGGGCCCCGAGAGCATGATCGGAGCCGGAGCCAGGAGTCGGACGCTTGGCCGGCCGAGCCGCCCGGGAGCCCCCTGAACAGCTGATGTAAAAGCTGCGTGCAAATGGCCCGTAAACATGACACGGTGGCCGGTTTCATGGGAGATCAGAGAGATGTAAAAGGAAGCACACAGGACACGGTCACTGAGACTGGTTGTACCGAGTGTGAGGCTGCAGGTGTGGTGTCTGGTGTCGTTGGGGTGGGGGCTCACCTGGGTTCAGTGGGCAGGGCGGGCGTTTCCCGGTAACACGGGTGTGCACGTGCTCCTTGAGCCCAGCGCCCCGCTCCTGGGCTGACACGGGCGTGTGGACACCGGGAAACACCAGCAGTTACGGGGCCCCCGGGGGCTCTGGCAGTGAGGGTCCGACTCCTGGATTCCGCTCAGGTCGTGAGGTCGCGCCCCAGGTCCGGGGCGTCTGCCTGGCATTCTCCCCCTGCCCCGCCCCTCCTGCGCACACGCGCTGTGCGTCTCTCTCTCTAATCTTAAACCCTAGCAGTCGCGGAGCAGACCCCATCCTGCGTGGACGGTCGTGGCGGAGCCAGAGGGTGTGCCTGTTCTCACGCAGGTCCCCATGACGCTGCCGGCCCCGAGGTCCTGGGCTCTGCCGGGCTCCTGGTGGTCGGGGTCATCTGAGCCTCCCGGGGGGTGGCCAGGCCTGCTCCTGCGCCCCCCAGCACGGCACCCATGCAGGCCACCCCCTGCCCCACCCTGTCCCAGGGCCCTGCAGCGGTGAGGGTGCCCTGGGCCGTGTTTATGTCAGCATGATGTCCAGGTGCGCTCGTGAGGACCCAGGCTGCCGAAGGCGACAGCCTCGCTCGCGCGGGTGGTGGGTCGGGGGTGGTGGGTGTGAGCCTCTGTCTCGGTAAGTGGGTGATCGGAATCTGCAGAATGTGGGCAGCAGCAGCTCGGGGGGCTCCGGCTGGACTCGCTGGGGGACGGTCGGTGAGCAGCCCCCCTGGCTCTGCGGAGCTCGCGTGTCCGGCTTCTGGTGGAGGGGACCCAGAATCCAGTCGGGGCGGAGTTCTGTGGGGCCTCGGGATCAGCGTGTTTCTGGTGGGGAAAGAGATGGGAAAGAGATGACGTGAACCTTACAGATGTCAGTCTCTGGCTCTTGTGGACGTGAGGGCAAGACCGCGCCGTGGTCAGCCGGCCTGCAGTGGCCCGTGGCTTCCGGGTTAGCGCTTCTGGCCACCGGCTGGGGACCCGGCGCCGGGGCTGGCTGGGCGTGCGTCCCCGCACCCCGGGTGGCAGGCGGGCTGCTCCTGTGCCAGCCGAGGCTCCGCGGTGGGCGGAAAACCCCCAGCGTGGCCTTCCTGTCCCCTCAGGCTCCTGGGTAGAGCTGCACTTCAGCAACAACGGGAACGGGAGCAGCGTTCCAGCCTCCGCTTCTATTTATAACGGTGACCTGGAAAAAATACTGCTGGATGCCCAGCATGAATCTGGACGGAGTAGCTCCAAGAGTTCTCACTGTGACAGGTGGGCATACACACGCACGTCTGTTCCGGTGCTGACGTCACGGGGGACGAGCAGGGCCGGGTCCAGGAGTGGCCTCCGCCCTCCTGGTCTGTGGGCGGACCGCGGCAGAGCTGAGGGGCCCTGCCCCTGCGTGTCCTGCCTGGCCCCCTGGCCACCACGAGCTGCCGTGCGTCAGCGCTGCCAGTGACTCCCGGCGGCAGGGCTGAGTCAGAAATCAAAGGTCAGCTGCTCTCGGCTGTGCAGCGGGGCACAGAGCCAGTGCGTGCGGGAAGGCGGCCGTGGGGAGCCCCCCACCCCCCACCACTCTGGCTGCCCGATGCCGGCCTAGCCCAGCTGAGGAGGGCAGGGGCCGGGGCCGGGGCCTGGTCGGGGCCGGGGGCCGGTGCTCCTCCTCTCGGAGGCTTTGCCGGTCACAACGGACAATGTTCACGTTCTGCGCCTTCTCCCGTTCTCCTGTCTCTGCGCAGCCCTCCGCGCTCACAGACCCCGCAGGATACGACCCGAGCTTCGGAAGTAGACACCCACAGCATCGGAGAGAAAAACAGCTCCCAGGTGGGCCGTGGTGCTCGTGCGCGCGGCACGCTGTGGGTTTCCAGTGACTGAGGAGACCAGCGTGTGCTGTAGGCGAAGGCTCCTGCCTTTTTTAAAGCCATGAGGTGGGGGCCTCCCGACACCCGAGCTGACCAGAGGAAGGGCCGGCCTCCGCTGCCCTGCCCTGCCCTGCCGCCCGGGGACGCTCGGGGACGCCTGGGGACGGTGGGTGGCTTCTGCAGCCCGGACAGGGCCACGCGGCCAGTGGGAAGGGCACCCGGGTGCCCCTCGGGGGGTGTCTGTCCTGGTGGGGGTGGGCTTTCGTGTGTCGGCTGCTCGGGGGAGCCTGGCGTGACCTGCACACTCGGGCTCTGCTGATGCGCTGGGACACCGTCGTTGCTCAGACCCCGCCTCTGGCCGTGCTGACGGGCTGGCGCAGCTCCGTGCTAGGAGTGGAGGCCGCGGCCCCTGAGAACGGGGCCCCCAGTGCTGGGCTGCGACTGCGCCCCCCCGGGCCCTGGCCCCCAGGACTGCTGCACCTGCGAAGGAAATGTTTCCCTTGGGTGTTTTCAGTGATGATGAGAACATGAACAGTTGATGTCTTCTTCCGAATTTATTTCAAAATTTCTGAGGAAGCAGGGTCTTGCCGTTGGTACCACTGAGGCCCTTGATCCCTGGGGTCTCCCCTCTGGGCCTCCCGCTCACCTGGGCCCTCCTAGCACCCTCCCTGGTCCCCTGGGTGCCCTCGGGGTGCCCCCGGGGCCACTGCTTGGTTTGCCTGCTGCATTCCAGAGTATTTCCAAAAACGGAAGCAGTGCTTTTTCTGGTTTTCAAGAGGAATTATACTCGGGTTCAGAGTTTTTTAAATGCAAAAAGGGAGAAAAGCACCTGTGCTCCTCCTTCCTAAAGTCCCTTATCATTCATGTCTTGTCTTACATGTTTTAGATGTAGCTTGAGACGGCAGGTATGTGTAAATGTGCTTTGGTTCTGTCCCTCCCACCGAACACGACATCGGCCCTTCAGAGCCGGCGGCACTTGCTGCCGTCGTGTCCACGGCCGCGCCGGGCCTGCAGATGGCTTTCACTTTCTCCTCCTCCCCGGCCCTGCTGTGGTCAGCGTCTCTGTGGGGACGCCTTTGCCCTCACCTTGCACGGCTTCCTCCAGACCGTGTTTGCAGGCTGGGTGTCTGTGCGGCTGGGGGGGCTGGGGGGCGCGGGGGGGGTGAGCCAGGCCCCACCTGCCCGCCCTGCCCCGTGGGACCCACTGCGCGCTGAGCACTGTTCACCTTGCTTCTGTCGTAGTCTGAGGAAGATTATATCGAGAGAAGGAAAGAAGTTGAGAGCATCTTGAAGAAGAACTCAGACTGGATTTGGGATTGGTCAAGTCGGCCAGAAAACATCCCCCCCAAGTGAGTGTCTCCAGTGGTGTGGGGTGTGCGTGGACTCCGCGCAGCCGCTCACTGGCCTCCTTCTCCCCAGGGAGCTCCTGTTCAAGCACCCGAAGCGCACGGCCACGCTCAGCATGCGGAACACGAGTGTGATGAAGAAGGGGGGCATCTTCTCGGCGGAGTTCCTGAAGGTCTTCCTCCCATCCCTGCTGCTGTCTCACCTGCTGGCCATCGGGTTGGGGTGAGTGAGGCCGGGCGGGCCTGCGTCCAGATAAGTCTGGGTCCAGGGAATTCGTAGGCCTCTTGCTCAAGTGCAGACTGTCCGTCGGTTAGGTAACGCAGGCAGGCGAACAAGGCCCAGGTGCTGAGCCCAGACCCTGGAGGACCCCCTCCCAGTCCCCGGCCCCACTGTGGGGGCCGCCCTGATGGCAGAGACTCCGGGTACCGTGTCTCCCTGGCGCTTTCTTGACACCCAGCTTCTCAGTCCGGACCGTCCTGTGTCGCTCAGTCCTCAGCTGCTTACGCTGTGTGGCCGGGTGCTCAAAGCTGTTCCCTCCCGCGGCAGCAGCTGGGGCCTTGGGGACCTGCCACACGTCCCCCAGCGCAGCCCCGCTCTGGTCGTGCTCGGCAGTACCAGGACGCGGACCCCCTCGTCCCCGGCATCGGCTCAGCCCGGCCTGGCGCAGCAGGTGGTGGCCTGCAAGCCCCGGTGCGCACGGTGTTGCGTGCCTGCAGCTGGCTGGGCCGACCGGGTTGTCACAATGGGCACCTGATGGAGGCAGGCGTCTGGGGCCCGGAGGGAAGCAGGAGGAGGAAGACCCTGAAGCACGGTCACCCCCATCTCCCAGATCCCGCGAACGGGGCAGATGAGGCCCGGGCTGTTCCAGGGCTCACCGGTCCTGCCAGGGGCTGCCTTGCCCACCAGCCCCGTGGGAAGGGAGCACGGGGCTGGGCTGCCTCGCCTGCCCCCCTTCTGGGCCTCAGACCCTCGTCCTGGGAACTGCCCGGGACAGCTTGCCACGGGCCAGGGCCTCCTGACGGCAGTGGCCAGAGGGAGAGCCCTCCAGGGGCCTGGGCCAGCCCCTGACCCCCTCGCTGCCCACTCGCAGCTTCATTCTGCCCGTGCCCCTCCCAGCGGGTCCACGTTGCCTCTAGAACCGGCAAGTCAGGTTCTGTGGGAGCCGGGCCTGGGCAGCGCCCCCAGCTGGCATCCCTGCCTCTCCCCGTTGCTGCCGGGCTGCGGAGCTTGCTGCTGCCCCGCGCCTGTCGCGTCCACCCCCTCGCTCATGGGCGGTGGCTCCCCAGCAGGCTCCCCAGCAGGCCCCCCAGCAGGATCGTGGGCTGGTTCCTGCGCGCTCCCAGCCAGCCTGCTCCCGTTTCCACCCCCTCCTTCCTGGGAGCCTGGCACTTGCGCCCCTTACCTTCTGGGTCCCTCTCTGGCTGGGGTAGATGCCTGAGGGGTGGGTGGCGGTGACCTTACAGCGATGCCCCACGAGTGTCTGCTGGGTCAGTTTACAAGTAAGGGGACCGGCAGCACCGCTCTGTCCTGAGGGCACGTCCGGTTGGTTAGTGGCCGCCTCTACTGGTCCTGCGCACACCGCGTGTCAGAGCAGTTGGATTTTTTCTGAATTAGATCATGAAATACACAATGCCAGATTATGAGGCGCGTGATACAAGACTGCGGATGCTGTACCAGAGGCTTTAAAAACAGGCAGAAGGTGGCGGGTCCCGACCGCGTTCGCCGTAACCAGCGTGAGTGCCCTGCTAACCTGCTAACTGCTGATTGCTTTCTCTGTGAAGGATCTACATTGGAAGGCGCCTGACAACTTCCACCAGCACCTTCTGATGAAGAGTCGGAACCTGGCTTTTTTCCTATAGCGGGGATTTTGGTTGGAGGCGGCGGCAGCACCAACACAGAGCGGTCTCGGTCCGTGGGTAGCTGCGCCACTTGTTTGGTCTGTTTGTTCTTAAATGCTGCGTTGCTAATTTAGTAGAAAGAAAAGACAAAGACCACGCTAACCTGTAATCATACGATGGGATCAACTACTAAGCATGTCATACTGATTAACATCTAATAATTTGGTAGTAAATTTTGTTTGGCTATTATAAATATCGAAGTATAAATAATTTTAACACACTAGATACAACACATGTAGTATTTTAACAGAAATTACCTGTCACCAGTTATTCAGTTAAAATACTTTATATTTGAAAAGAATGAATAATGTTTATTAAAATGACTACATAAGGGGTTTATCCCAAATGAATATTGTGGCCTTATATTCACACTGTTAGAGGAAACACTACATTTAAGTGGGTGCAGGTTGTCTTTACTAAAGACAACACTGGACTCTGCTGTTCCTGGTTACGCAGCGGAATCCGAGGAGCAGATACAGACCCCACTGTACGGTTCGGACACTTAGCAGCCGTCTGGGCAGTCCGTCTCCTGTCCCGGGCGCCTGCTGAGGATCCTAACTAACTCATCACTCTGGATTGCTGAATTTAGTCTACTCTTTGTGTTTGGTTTTTGTGTGCTCTTAGAATCAGCTTCATTCTAAGCAAACCTGTGTCTACTTCAAAAGACTGGAAATAGAAAAAAAATAAATCTTTGCCAAATCCTTCAGAGATGACTGTAGTCACATGGTTTAAATGAAATGTCAAAAAGCTTTCCGATTAAACCAGGCATCCGCCCCGTTGTCACCGTTACCTTTCTGACAGCATGACCTCTTAAAGGCTGCCTCTTAGGCGTACTCTGTATCCTGTTGTGTATTTGTTCATTTCCACACTCAATTTAGTTGTGTTAAAATAAATGACATTTTAAGTTTTTAAAATTTCTGTTCATATTTAAATGATTACCTTGGACCTAGCAGCTGACAGCCACCTCATTGGGAGAAAGCTGGATGAATGGCGTCGGAGTTCTTCATGTAACTTCTCTAGAAAAGAGAAAGATTCAAGTCCCGTGGACGCTCTGGCCAAGCGAAATGCCCTTGTGACTCACAGCAGATGTTGTATTTGCCTTTCGTCAGAACCGAAGGGGCTCATTCCTCTGCTACTTGTGCCTGGAGCGTCAGGGCCGAGCGAGGCCCAGCGTCTTCAGAATTAGCCCCCTCGTGCACAGGGACCCCCCTGTGGTTTCCTGAGCCATCACTCGGGTGACGGGGGGGCCCTCCAGGCAGTCACTTCTGTCCCCCTCTGGGTGGCATTAGCTGAGCACTGAGCAGAACTGGCTGCAAGTACCCAAGGGCTGTTAGGGACACGGGGTCGAGACCAGGGCCCCTCGTCACACTCAGCCTGGGGCTGGACATTTTACTCCTGACAGTGCTGTATTTGCCTGGATCTGTATTTGGTTCTTCCTTCGGGGCAGGATGCACTTAGTCCTGGAGCTTCTGCAAATAGCCCGTGTGCTCTTCTCACTGTATTCACCGAATAGCAAGTTTACGTGTTTGGATTATGTTAGATAATTCAAACAGTTGTGGATCTTAAGCAGATGAAACATGTAGCTGCCACTTCTGAATGCAGCTTCCTGGTCCTGGCACCTGCTGCCGCAGAGTCTGAGTCTGCAGACTCGATGGGGCCCTGGGACGCCCAGAGCACAGTGGGTACAGCTCTGGAGGGGATGGGTGGCCACCTGCCCGTTCCCTGTGACCCAGCGTAGGCATCTGCCCCGAAGCTAAACCCTCCAGGCCTGGAGATCTACGGGTCCGTGTCCAGTAGGAGATGCCTGAAGGAAGCGCGGGCCCTGCGTGCAGGCAAGGGGGGAGCGGGCCGCGGGGCTTCCTGGCTGGAGCCCAGTGCGGCTTCTCAGGACGACCGCGGGGGGTCAACAAACTGATGGGGATTCCTGGGACGTATGGTTTCCTGACGAACGGGAACTGGAGCTGGCGCCGGGCAGTGGGGCAGGATGTGGAGGGGGCAGGCCAGCCTGGACGCGGGCCTTCGGGCACCAGGGGAGCTGCCCCTCTGGATACCATTGAGCTGAGCTGAACCCGCTGAGCCCACATCGCAGGCCGATGAACAAAATAAAGTCTTTAAGAAAACGTATGCGGTGTGCCATCATTTGTACAAGAAGCCTAAGACCACAACTACTCGCTTCTGGAAAAAGATCCCAAGGATAGATAGAAACGGAGGAGGCTGGCTGCCTCCGGGGGAGCAGGGGGGGTCGGGTAGCGGGAGCGGCCGAAGGAGGGCCTGTGCCTTTCTCGTGACTCCCCCCAGCAGTACCTCACCGAGCTGAACTCCCGAATCCTGACCAACGGTGCAGCATGGGGGCGGGGGCAGGGGCAGGTGGCGACTACCTGGGGGTGTCTGTCCGTTCGGGGTGCTGAGCTCTCAGAACCGTGGCGATCATGTGCGTGCTCCCCAGGATGGGCAGGCCCCCAGCTTGGTCCCCGGGGCCGGATGAGCAACGACTGCCGCGAGTTGGCGGGTTCCGGATCTGGCTCCTCCCGTCGCCCTTCAGTTGGTTCCAGGGCCAAGGGCCCGGCCTGTGTGCTGCGGAGTCCAGAAGGGCGTGGACGCCAGGGTGCCACCGCGGCGATGGCACTGCCCCTGGGCCCGCGTGGGTGGGTAGCAAGCGGGAAGGCACGGCTCTCCCTCCCTCGGAGTTCCCCGTAAACACAGGAGGGCTGATGGGGCGGCAGCCTCCGGCCGCACGGCGCCAAGTCCCCAGGAGCTCTGGTGACGCGGGACAGGTACAAAGGGCTCAGCCTGCCCACGGAGGGATCAGAACGGAAACTCCAAGCTTGACGGCGTGGAGACCCACGCGCGCGGTCGTGGCCCCACGAGAACTGGCCCGGGCGTGTGGGGGGCGGCCCACGTCCCCAGTGGAGGCGCTGGGGGACCCGGGCCCCTGTGCTTTGGCTCCACAGCGACGCAGGCGCCTGGCTGGCCCCGAGGGCGGAGCACGAGGTCCTGTCTCAGGGTGTGAGCCACAGCCCCCGTGGGGCACCTGCCTGGCCTGGGGTCAAGCAGCTGCCTCCTGACTTCAGCTCAGGTCGTGATCCCGGGGCCACGAGATGGAGCCCCGCGTCAGGCCCTGTGTTCCACGGGGAGCGTGCTCGACGTTCTTTCCCGCTCCCGCTGCCTCTGCTCGCATGCTCCCCAAAATCTTAACTTTTTTTTTTTTTTTAAGATTCTTATTTATTCACGAGAGACACAGAGAGAGGCAGAGACACAGGCAGAGGGAGAAGCAGGCTCCATGCAGGGAGCCCGACGTGGGACTCGAACCCGGGTCCCCAGGATCAGGCCCTGGGCCAAAGGCGGTGCTAAACCACGGAGCCACCCGGGTGCCCCCCCCTCCCCAAAATTGTTAAACAACAATGGACCTGAAACCATAAACCAGAGAGAAATAGGCAGTGAGCTCCCGGACACTTCCTGGTGACAGTTTTGTGGATTTGACCCCACACGCAAAAGCAACACAAGCAGAAATAAACCAGGGGCCTGCGCCGCGCTAAAAATCTCAGGCTCACCAAAGGAACGCGATGAAACGGAAACTACTAAATAGGAGAAAACATCTGTAAGTCATTTATCTGATTAGAGGCTGATACTCAACATAATTCCTCCAACTGGAAGTGGATTAAAAGTGGGCAGGAGACACGAGCGGACATTTCTCCACAGGCGGCGTCCAGATGCCAACGGCCGGCACACGAGGAGACGCTCCACATCCTCCCCAGGCAAATGCAAATCCAACCTGCAATGAGCTGTCCCCTCACGTCTGCCAGGACGGCTACTCAAACCTGAGAAACAACAGGGGTGGGTGACGATGTGGAGAAAAAGGCACCTCGTGCCCTGCTGGTGGGCACGCAAACAGGTGCGGCCACAGTGCACGGGGTGTGGAGGTGCCTGGGGGCGCCGTGGGAGAAGTGTCTGTCTTCGGCTCAGGTCATGACCCCAGCCAGGGTCCTGGGGTGGAACCCTGCCACCGCGGCTCCCTGCTGGGGGGCGGGGGGGGGACGTCTGCTTCTCCTGCCCCCTCCCCCCCGTGCCCTCTCACTCGCTCGCTCAAAATCTTTTAAAAAGTCAAGAACAGAACCTCCCAAGACCCAGCAAGTGCACTGCCAGGTACACATCTGAAGACACGAAAACACTCGCCTGAAGATCCTCGCGCTGCAGCATGTACAGGGCCACTGACGCGGCCACGGTTCGGAAGCACCAAGGTGTCCCTTGGTGGTGAAGTGTGCTGCGTCTCTTGGTCCCTCACAGCAACAGTGTTCAGCCAAAAAAAAAAAAAAAAAAGAAAAAGAAAATCTTACCATTTCCTTCATTTCCAGCACGATGGACTGTGAAGCCGTGATGCTGAGGGGCCCAAGTCAAATCATGATCCCGCTTCGACGTGGAATCTAAAAACAAACCAGCACAAAGCAAAAGCCAGAACTGCAGCTCCCGCGCTCCCGGAGTAGACAGTGGTTGCCGGGGGGGGGGGGGGACACGGGACGGGAGGAAGGGGTCGGAAGCACGGGTGTCTAGTAGTAAAGGCCAGCGCGAGGATGTGAGGCCCAGTGTGGGGACCACAGCAGGGGACCCAGTGGCTGGGGGAGATCTTAAAAGTTCTCAGCACAGGAAAGCCCACCCGGTGTCCTATGTGCTGACGGATGCGACAAGAAGTGCAGGGCTCCCCCCAACGTGTGCAAACCCCGAGTCCTGCCCGTCTGGGTCGCCTGCGGGAGGACAGCAGCCCCAGCGAGAAACGCGCAATGGCACCGCGGGACGATGCTGGCCTCCGGGACCGGAGTGCCCTCTGCAAGTCCGTTCTTGGAACAGATCAAGGCTCCTTATGCTCACGGGACACGCCTTTTCAGAGACGTCTTGGTATCTCCGAGGACATGAACGGGCCTGGGGGCACGCAGGGACGGGGTCGGGGCACCGCTGCGTTGGGAGCTATGCTGCACCCCAAGGAACAGCACGGCCTGGTGACAGATGGGTGCCAGGGAGCCCCCGGGCACAGGGCCCCATACGGGCCTCCGTCCCGTGCCAGCCTGCGAGCACCCGGCATCCGGCCCTCCTGCTAGAGACGTGCGGCACCTCTCGTCCCAAAACGGCTGCAGGCCACCGCGGGAGCCAGTCTCCTCCGCGGACTTCCCGGTACCGTGCTTACTGGAGGAGCCGCAGGTGTCACTGGGCCACCCCATCTGCCACTGCACGGGCTGGAGGTGAACGCAGGGCACCGGGACCCGTCTCATGCCCCAGGTAGAGGTTGCGCTGGCGGGTGCGGCACCCACGACCACGCTCCTCAGCAGGCGGCTGTGCGCAGGGCTTCGGGGCCGCAGCCCCTCGGGCAAGTGCTCCCTCGTCCCACACGCTTGCCCCTCACCGGCTCCATGGGGGCACAGCGTGGGGCCCGGGACTCGCGGCGCTGGCCTGTGCAGGGCCTGCGCAGCCCCCAGGAAGGGGGGTCGTCACCGTCAGGATGAGCGCCCAGGCCAGCGGTCCCCCACCCTCCCAGACAGCCCTGTGTGTGGGCCGCCTTTACCCACAGGGTCCCCGCCTGGCGACCTCCGCCTCCAGCCTGTGCGGAGACCCTCGTGGGGCAACACGCCCAGCTTCCAGGGGGCGCCCAGCGGTGGGCGTGCAGGAGCCCCTGGGCGCCGAGCGGGAGAGCCAGGGCAGCGGGCGCCCGTCTCCGTG